CATCTTAACAGATTTACAAATATTTTATCCCATCTAGTAAGTTTTTATTTTGTTGATCATTTGCTTTGCTGTGCAGAAGCTTTTCATTTTTTAAGTTTTTAATTTTTTTCCAATTTATTTTTTTTTCACTTTTTAAAAAAGTTTTTATTTTACTTCCAGTTGGCCTATAGTGTAATATTAGTTTCAAGTGTATAATCTACTAACTCAGCACTTCCATACAACACTTGGTGCTCATCACAAGAAGTACACTCCACTTCTTTTTTTTTCTTCTCTTTAGTTTAAAAAATTTTTTTTTTAAATTTTTATTTAATTTATTTTTTAAATTTACATGTAAGTTAGTTAGCATATAGTGCAACAGTGATTTCAGGAGTAGATTCCTTAATTCCTCTTACCCATTTAGCCCATCTCCCCTCCCAGAACCCCTCCAGCAACCCTCTGTTTGTTCTCTATATTTAAGAGTCTCTTATGTTTTGTCCTCCTCCCTGTTTTTTTAAATTATTTTTGCTTCCCTTCCCTTATGTTCATTTGTTTTATATCTTAAAGTCCTCATATGACTGAACTCATATGATATTTGTCTTTCTCTAATTTCGCTTAGCATAATACCCTCTGGTTCCATCCACATAGTTGCAAATGGCAAGACTTCATTCTTTTTGGTTGCCAAGTAATACTTCATTGTATATATATATACCACATCTTCTTTATCAATTCATCCATCGATGGACATTTGGGCTCTTTCCATACTTTGGCTATTGTTGATAGTGCTGCTATAAACTTGGAGGTGCATGTGCCCCTTCGAAACAGTACACCTGTATTCCTTGGATAAATACCTAGTAGTGCAATTGCTGGGTTGTAGGGTAGTTCTATTTTTAATGTTTTGAGGAGCCTCCATACTGTTTTCAGAGTGGCTGCACCAGTGTGCATTCCCACCAGTAGTACAAGAGATCCTCTTTCTCTGCATCCTCACCAACATCTGTTGTTGCCTGAGTTGTTAATGTTAGCCATTCTGAGAGGTGCAAGGTGGTATCTCATTGTGGTTTTGACTTGTATTTCCCTGATGATGAGTGATGTTGAGCATTTTTTCATATGTTGGTTGGCCATTTGGATGTCTTCTTTGGAGAAGTGTCTCTTCATGTCTTTTGCCCATTTCTTCACTGGGCAGAAGCTTTTTAGTTTGATGGACTCCTACTTGTTTATTTTCTATTTTGTTGTTGTGTTTTGGGTGTTATATCCAAAATGTTGTGACCAAGATGCATGTCAAGGGGCTTTTTTCCTATATTTTCTTTTAGAAATTTTATGGTTTCATGTCTTACATTTAAGTCTTTAATCCATTTTAAGTTAATTTTTGTGAGTGGTGTGACATAGGTGTCTTGTTTCATTCTTTTACATGGAAATATCCAATTTTCCCAGCACCATTTATTGATAAGACTGTCTTTTCTCCATTGAGCATTGTGACTCTCTTGTCAAATATTAGTTGAGTATATGTTCTTGGGTTTGTTTCTGGACTCTTGATTCTGTTCCATTGTCTATTTGTTCTTGTGCCAGTGCCATACTGATTTGATGACTATAGCTTTCTAATAGAGCTATAAATCAGGAAATGTGATACCTCCTGCTTTGTTTCTTCTTAGAGTTGTTTTGGGATCATTTATGGTTCCATATTTATTTTAGGATTTTTTTATACTTATGTAAAAACTGTCGCTGGATTCTTGATAGGGATTGCATTGAATATATAGATGGCTTTGGGTAGTATGGATATTTGAACAATATCAATTCTTCCAATTCATAGACATGGGATTTGTATTTATTTGTGTCTTTTTAAATTTATTTCATCAGTATTTTATAGTTTTCAGTGTTGAGGTCTTTTATCTCTTTAGTTAAATTTATTCTTAAGTATTTATTGTTTTTGAAGCTCTTTTAAAGGGATCATATTCTTTATTTCTTTTTTAGATAACTTGTGGTTGATATATAGAAACACTACTTATTTTTGTGTTTTAATTTTGTATCCTGCTTACTGTTAACACTTTATCCAGGAAGACACCCTTAAGTGAGTATTGACCTAAAAATAAAAGACCCTACAGCTTAGCAGAGCTTATGAATCCTGAAAGCTATGGAAGCAGAGAAGAAGCAAATAGTTTTTTAAGACTCTAGTATGTATAAAGAGCTTTATATACCTAATGTCATTTAATCTTCTCTACAGCTTTATATTATAGGTGTTACTATTCCCATTTTACCAGCAAGGGAATTCAGGTTCAGAGGGGTTAAGTATATTTTAAAAGCATCACACAGCTACTAAATGACAGAGGCAAGGCTCAGTCACAAAATGTTCTGTCTTAAATGGGCTCTTAACTCTTCCCAGCAACCTGTGTTGTACTGAAGCATCATTCTCCCACTTGTCACAAAAAACTATTCATCTCTTCTTTCTTTAAAACTCTCACTGAAGATCTTGCTTCATATTTCTGTGACCCACTTGTGACAAGTATTCTCTCAGCCATCCTCATTTTCGGACCTCAGCACCTGTCACTCTCTCCCTCCAGTCTAGGTAACTCATGTCAGAGTGAGAATAATCCACTAGGGTGATCCAGTGCTAGTCACTCCTCTAAATACTTCCTCTCTCTCCTGTTCTTCCAGGAAAAATATGCACTAGGAAGATCTCAGAACAGCCACATCATATTGGAGAAACAAATCATCTTCTCCCAACTTAGTGAAGGGCTTTCCACACTCAGACCTTCTAAGAGGAAATGTTGCAAGTAGATGTTCTCTCTCTCCAGGTCTCTCTCTCTCTCCTAAATTCCCATTACCCCTTATTTTTCTATTCTCTAGAGCGCTCTCTCTCACATCGCATTCAGGTCAACACACTCTGCTCTGGAAACCTTCACTTCCGATCCTGAGAGGAGGCCATGGCACCTCCCTTTGACATCCACCTTGCCCTCTAAGACAAGAATGTTTCAGGTTTTGGTTGGATGCTAATGAACTTCCTAGTCTGACTCAGGTGATGGAGGGTGTCCCTTGAGTGCAGATCAGTGTGGGTACTCCAGTTCCAGGTTAGTCTTCCCACTAACTACAGTGGCTGACTTTCTCATTGTTTACTTAAGAAACAAGTGTACCTTACCATGGAAAGCTTTTAAGTAATTCAGAGAAAATGCATCTAATTAATATGAACAGAGACATTTCTCCTGTTAGCATGCAAACCATAAACTGTCATGACTGTCCTCGGGACCTGATTAACATTAACAAGACCACCACAGTAAAAACTCTTTCCTTTGCCGGCCAAGAATGTGGTTCCTGTTTTGATTAGATTTCATAAAAAATTATTTCAGCTCTTTCTGCCTTTGCCATCCACCACACACACTCCAAAGATTTCTGTTTACATGATGGAAGACCTATGCCTTCCCATTAGTATGCATGCAAATACTCTTCTCTATATATTCCTCTTTTCTTGCTAAAATGGAGGAATTCTGTCCTATCAAAGAGCAAATCTTCTACATATATTCTGAATTCCATCTCTTCATGCCATCTTGAAGTCCTTGTTTCATAATTTATTACTTCTCTCTCCTGCATTTTGATTTCTTTTTCTCTATTGGACCAGTCTCACCAATATTCAAATATTATCTAGTGCTCTGATGTTGCAAACATGCTTCTTGGATCTTACATCTCTCTACATCTACTGGCCTATTTTTCTTCTTCCCCTTCCTGATAAAATTGTCCCCAGAATCATTTTCTCTTGGATCCCTATATGTTTCCGTTATAGCACTTACCATAATCTGTAATTATATATTATTTGTTTATTCTCTTACTCCTCTCTCTACTAGATTGTAAGCTGCATATGGGACATGATTATTTCTGTTCTATTTCCAAAGCACCTAGCAGAGTACTAAACACATTGTAGGTTTTCAATAAATATTTGTTATGTGAATAGAAGGCCCCAAATCCAGGGTTCTTTCCATGGAAGAGTAGTAGGGATGGGGAAACTGTGATGTGTGCCATTTGTTGCAACTCTTGGTCATCATCTGTTTCAATGCTTTCACTTTTTCTAGAAAAGTTAATAAACTATTTTTTTTTAATTTTTTTTTCAACGTTTATTTATTTTTGGGACAGAGAGAGACAGAGCATGAACGGGGGAGGGGCAGAGAGAGAGGGAGACACAGAATCGGAAACAGGCTCCAGGCTCTGAGCCATCAGCCCAGAGCCTGACGTGGGGCTCGAGCTCACGGACCGTGAGATCGTGACCTGGCTGAAGTCGGACGCTTATCCGACTGCGCCACCCAGGCGCCCCAATAGACTTTATTTTTAAAAGCAGTTTTAGCTTCAAACAAAACTGAGCAGAAAATACAGTGAATTTCCACATATCTTCTCTCTACACATGCACAAGCTTCCCCCACCATCAACATCTCACATCAATGCACCAGTGCTGTCATTTGTTGTACCTGATGGACCAATAGGAACACATCGTTATCAAAGTCCACAGTTAACGTTAGGGTTCACTCTTTGTGCTGTACATCGATGAGTTTTGTTTGACAAATGTGTGATGACATGTATCCACCATTATAATACATTATAGGATAGTCTCACTGCCCTAAATGTCCTTTATGTACCACCTGTTTGTCTCTTCCTCCCCCGACACCCTTGTCAACCATTGATCTTTATACTGTCCTCATAATTTTGCCTTTTCTTGTATGTCATATAACTGAAATTATACAGTATCCAGCCTCTTCAGGTTGGTTTCGTTCACTTAGCAGAGTGCACTCATGGTTCCTTTATGTCTTTTTGTGGATTGAAAGCTCATTTATTTTTAGCAATGAATAATATTCCATTGTATGGATGTATGACAGTTTATTCACCTGTTAAAAGACATCTTGGCTGCTCCCAAATTTTGGCAATTATGAATAGGGCTGCTATAAACATTCGTGTGCAGGTTTTGCTGTGGGCATAAGTTTCCAGCTCATTTGGATATCAAGGAGTGCAATTGCTGGAGTGTATGGGAAGAGTGTGTTTAATTTTGTAAGAAGCTGTCTTTCAAAGTGGCTGTACCATTTTGAATACCCACTAGCAGTGAATGAGAGTGCCTGTTATCATATTGTTGCCAGCATTTGGCATTGCTGGTATTTTGGATTTGGGCCATTCTAATAGATGTGTAGTGGTTTCTCATTTATTTTGCAATTCCCCAACCATGTGTCATTGAACATCTTTTCATATGCTTATTTGATATTTATATACCTTCTTTGGTAAGATGTCTGTTCAGATCTTTTGCCCATATTTTAATCAGGTTTCTAAAATTAAGTTTTAAAAGTTCTTTGTGTATTTTGGATAATAGTTCTTGATCAGAGATATCTTTTGTAAATATTTCTCTTGATTTATGACTTTTCTTCTCATTCTCTTGATCCTTTTACCTTTTACTTTCTTTCTAAAACTTTTGGCACCTACTCTTCTTCTGTCATGGAGAAAGATGGTACGAGTAATTTACACCAAGATGTAAGTGCCTCAATGTCATTTATTCCTCAGAAGAGAACTGCAGGAAAATGGCAGGGCTTAACAAAGGAAATAAACCTCTGATGATAGAATTTAAGGTCTCATGATACTGAAGTAAAGTATTATTTGAAAGATTTTTTTTCATAAGCATTCTCCCCAACTATTGGTGACTACAGTAGACAAAGTGTATAGACGTAGTCTGTTTAGCTGACACATTTCCAATTTGTTACCACTATTCAACACTCGATATGTTTTAAAGACAAACAAAAATGAAAGATGATTTTATACAGCTGGTGGTTATCATGTTCAAGTCCCAGGATAGTCAAGAGAGAATTAAGGAACTCCATGGTTTAGACAATTTTATCTGTCAGGTTTTTTAACTTGCAGTTGAAATTCAGATCAAATTCGCTTATGCAAAAAGGAAGTATGTTGGTTCATGTAACTGTAAAGGGCAAAGGAAGAGTTGGCTCCAAATGACGCTGTTCTGTCACTCAGCTTTTCTTCTTCTGTTTATTGATTTTATTTTCAGACAGGATTTCCCTGAATGGTTGGAAATATGAGCTGCCAGTAACCACAAGCCTGTGTCCTTACAGATCATAATCCAGAGGACAGACCCCAAAGCACTCTCTTACTGTAAATATAGTATCTTCACTGAAAAATATGATTAGACTTCTTGGATAATATGCCCAATTGCTGTGTCCAAGGAGACGGAGAGCTTTGTTTAATTAGGGGTCCTGTGTCCACCTCTGTGGTTTGGAATATGTTAAGTTCAACTCTGCTTGAACTGTAAGGACTGAGTTCTCCCAAGTAAAAGGGGTTTTGTTACTAGAAAAAGGTGTGAGAGTCTTCAGACAGCAAAACAACAGATGTTAGCTTTATATATTCCTTATCTTGACTGTATGTTATTCATTTCTCATCTCCGTAGAGCTTATCAAAAAGTACTGTCAATAACAGAGCAATTTGGATGACTCACTGGTCTGATGCTATAAGGAATTTTTGTCATTGAAACTAAAGATATATTTGTCAGTTATATACCTAGGAGATTAGAAGACTCAACGAAGAATGAAAAAATCATTAGTTTATACATTAAGTGGCTATTGTTAGGCATATAATATAACTTTATTTTGTCTATTTTATAATTCAGTATTTAACAGTACAACAGGGAGATAAGAAATGTTCATTATTTTTAGTATAGTTGTGATAATTCTTGTGTGGTTAGTTATCTCTGCCTCCTGGTAACTAGGCAACAGGAATTGCCACAGGAATGAACTGTGAAGACTAAATTTTAATTAAATTAAAAAATACTTTCCCATAATTAACATTTTCTAACTCATCCAAATTATTTTTATCTAAATCCTCAAACATGAGTTAAATTTTAAGATAAAATGATTAAATATATTTTAGTTCTTATTTTATTTGGCTGTTCTTTAGAAGATTTCAGGTAAACTTGTTTTCTTTACCTATCCTCTTCTTGCCCTGCTTTTTTGAAAAAAATGGGGAAATAATTTCTGCTAATACTGATTCGGTGTAGCGCTAAGACTGGGGATTTGGGAGCCAAAAATTCTGGGTTTGGAAACTATTTTGCCAATTCCTAGTTTTGTGCCTTAGGTAGATCACTTAAACCCTGTGATCCAGAGCTTCACTTAAAGTGGAAATAATGAGTACGGACCTTATGAAGACTACTGTGAGAATTCAATAGTATAATGCATGCAAATCTCTTGGCGTATGCCTTGGAGCTCAGTGAATATTTAGTCAGTGCCAGTTCTTATTAGCTCTAGTAACATCTATCTGTTAAGAAATGCAGAAAATTTCTGATTTCAGTAGTTACCAGTGTTAACTCCCTGCTTAAAGGGATTACTGCCTGAGGTCTAAGCTGCCCTTTAGGATAGCTGATTCCAAAGTGAGGGTGAATATTGGACATTCAACTCTTCTACAGGAATGCGAGATGTACAGTGAATGGATAATATTAATTAGATGCTCCAAAAGCCACTGGTGGATATAAATCAGAATCATCTTTTACTTTGAAGTATTTATTAGACTTAACTAAATGTATGTTTCAGAATACAATTATGTGAAACCTTTATATGTTGCCACAGAACCCATTTTGGTTTTATCTTTTTTTCGATAGTTTTAATTTATTCTATTTTTCTTTGTTTATGTGTAATTTAATTTATATTTCATAGCAACTGCTCATGAAAAGAATATACCAATTCTTTTAATTTATAACTTTGATAGCTCAAAGGAGAGCATCTGCCTACTAATTTGTTGATGCACATGCCATACAGCAGTATCTAGAGAAATACAAATTTAGAAACGTTTATAATCCATATGGGGTTTTGTTGACATTTAACTTTCTTACACTCAAGTAAGCAGATTAGTGGTATGAACAAGATTGCAACATGTATAGTTATTCTATACAAGAGTATATATTGTTTTCAAATATTTCAGAGCATATATATTTTGTGCCTTCTGTGTGCAGTAAATTGGGCAACACCGTGTAATACCGAGAAATAAAAAAGAAAACAGCTGATATTGAGTAATATAATGGGTAATGAATGACCCCAATAATATTTTTCCACTGAATTTGAAGGCAAATTCTACATCTCTTTCTCTCTATATATATTTAATTAATTTATTTTTAAACTTACATCCAAGTTAGCATATAGCGCAACAATGATTTCAGTAGATTCCTTAATGCCCCTTACCCATTTAGCCCATCTCCCCTCCCAGAACCCCTCCAGCAACCCTCTGTTTGTTCTCTATATTTAAGAGTCTCTTATGTTTTGTCCCCCTCCCTGCTTTTATATTATTTTTTTCTTCCCTTCCCTTATGTTCATCTGTTTTGTATCTTAAATTCCTCATATAAGTGAAGTCATATGATATTTGTCTTTCTCTGACTGACTTATTTCATTTAGCAGAATACACTCTAGTTCCATCCAAATTGTATCAAATGGCAAGATTTCATTCTTTTTGATTGCCAAGTAATACTCCAGTGTGTGTGTGTGTGTGTGTGTGTGTGTGTGTGTGTGTGTGTGTGTGTGTGCGCGCGCACACACACACACACACACCACATCTTTATCCATTCATCCGTCATGGACATTTGGGCTCTTTCCATACTTTGGCTATTGTTGATAGTGCTGCTATAAACATTGGGTGCATGTGTCCCTTCAAAACAGCACACCTGTATCCCTTGGATAAATACCTAGTAGTGCAATTGCTGGGTTGTAGGGTAGTTCTATTTTTAATGTTTTGAGGAGCCTCCATACTGTTTTCCAGAGTGGCTGCACCAGTGTGCATTCCCACCAGTAGTGCAAAAGAGATCCCCTTTCTCTGCATCCTCACAAACATCTGTTGTTACCTGAGTTGTTAATGTCAGCCATTCTGACAGGTGTGAGGTGATATCTCATTGCAGTTTTGATTTGTATTTCCCTGATGATGAATGATGTTGAGCATTTTTTATGTGTCGGTTGGCCATCTGGATGTCTTCTTTGGAGAAGTGTCTCTTCATGTATTTTGCGCGTTTCTTCACTGGACTATTTGTTTTTTGGGTGTTGTGTTTGATAAGTTCTTTGTAGATTTTGGATAGTAACCCTTTATCTGATACTTCATTTGCAAATATCTTCTCCCATTCTGTCGGTTGCCTTTTAGGTTTGCTGATTGTTTCCTTTTCTGTGTAGAAGCTTTTTATTTTGGTGAGGTCCCAATAGTTCATTTTTGCTTTTATTTCCCTTGCCTCCGGAGATGTGTTGAGCAAGAAGTTGCTGTGGCTGAGGTCAAAGAGGTTTTTGCCTGCTTTCTCCTCGAGGATTTTGATGACTTCCTGTCCTTTGTTTAGGCCTTTCAACCATTTTGAGTTTATTTTTGTGTATGGTGTAAGAAAGTGGTCCAGGTTCATTTTTTGCATGTCACTGTCCAGTTTTCCCAGCACCATTTGCTGAAGAGACTGTCTTTATTCCATTAGATGTTCTTTCCTTCTTTGTCAAAGATTAGTTGGCCATCTACATCTATAGTTTTTAATGATCCTTGATAAAAGCAAAAATCTTAATATTAAGGCAAAACGTTAAAGGACAGTGTTAATGAGACTGTGAGGGGCCAAATTCCTGTTTTTAAGAAGATGGTCTTCCAGAGGTCTAACCTAATTCTAAACATCCTTTAAGCACCGACCATATCATTCCCACAATATCATTCTTTTATTTGGGATTTATTTTCCCAATGAGCTTTGGTAGAAACAAACTGAATTTATCATCTAACAATTTTATGTTTTGAGTTTCTTTCAATTTTGATTATATTATAAACTTATTCTCCTGATTTTTATCTGGTTTAGACCAGTCTTAAGCATGGTTAGTCTGAATTTGTGAAGGTTGATGATGCAGCTTCCATTTTTTTCAGGTAGTTTTGTGAAAAGTAATTATTTTCTGTTTGACAACATGAGCTATGATATCAAGACATATGAAATCTGACATTTACCAGTAAGCGCTTCTGACGTGGTTTTCATCATTGATTTTCTTTCCTCTCTTCTACTTCCTCTAGTTGTACTTTCTTCATTACAGACGCACAGAAGATAAATATTCTGTTTATATTTTATGACACATTGTGAACAATGG